GTAGCTCAAACATCTCTATAGGAACATCTCTATAAGTAGCTCAAACATCTCTACAGGAAAAAAATAATAATCCAAGTAAAAATTGCCAAAATATCTGAATAGACATTAATTAAAAGAAGACATACAAATGGCAAACAGGCATATGAAAGGTGCTTGGTGTCACTGATCATCAGAGACATGCAAATCAAAAAGACAGTAAGATTAGTCTTACTCTAGTTAAAATGGCTTTTATCCAAAAACAGACAATAAAACATGCTGGTGCGGATATGGATAAAAGGAAACCTCATATACTGTTGGTGGAAATGTAAATTAGTACAACTACTATGGAGAACAGTTTGGAGGCTCCTCAAAAAACTAAAAACAGAACTACCACATGATCCAGGAATTTGACTGCTACGTATATACCCAAAGGAAAGAAAATAGTATATTGAAGAGGTATTTGCATTCCCATATTTATTGCAGCACTATATATAATAGCCAAAAACAGGAAGCATCCTAAGTGTCCATCAACAGATGAATGGATAAAGAAAGTGTGGCATATCACACAATGGAGGTCTATTCAGCCATAAATAGAAACGAGATCGAGGCACTTGCAACAACATGGATGCAACTGGAGGTCATTGTGTTAAGTGAAACAAGCCAGGCATGGAAAGAAAAACTTTGTATATTGCCAGTTATTTGTGGGAGCTACAAAAAAATGAAAACAACGGAACTCATGGATATAGAGAATGATGATTATCTGAAGCTGGGAAGGCTAGTGTGGGTGAGGGGAATTGGGGGTAGTTAATGGACACAAAAATGTAGTTAGAAAAAATAAGATTTAGTATTTGAGAGCACAGCAGGGTGGCTACAGTTAAAAATAATTTATTATACATTTAAAAATACTGAAAAGATGATGACTGGATTGTTTGTTTATAACACAAAGAAAGGATAAATGCTGAACATAATGGACACGTCATTTACCCCGATGTGATTATTAGGTCTTGTACACCTGTATCAAAATATCTCATGTACCCCATAACTATAGGAACCTACTAGGTAGCCACAAAAATTAAAAATTAAAAAAATTGTTATTTTTATTATTCTGCTCAGGTTCTCAAATACATGAATGCAAGTATCAGGTAGGACAGTGTGGGCCTTCCCTGTTTATATACAATTATATAAATCATGTGTATGTGCATAAAATAGCTGTCTAAACTAGGGGGTTTGGAGCCAGCTCCTTAACAAAAATAGTTCACAGAACATCAACATCAGATTTGATGAGGTGAGTTCATACTTGTAACTAAACAAAATGAAAACGAGACTACTTCCTCATTATGTTTAAGCAGATAGAAAAAAAGATCACTGTACAAATCACGAAAGTGATCAAACATTATCCTCACCCAGGTAACACTAGTGACTGGTGCTTCTTTACCACTCACATCTTTAGCCTTGCTCCATTGCTCTTTCTTTCTGGATAAAATTAGGAAGATAATCATATAAGTTTGAGATAAGGTATGGGTACGCAAAGGCATATAGAGTTGTATAAAGGACAATTGGAGACTCAGAGAGAGGACGGGAGTGGATGAGGGACTGAAAACTATATATTGGGTACAAGGTACATTAATCACGTGATGAGTGTGCAAAATTATCAGACTTCACCCCTCTTCCAAGTCATCCACATTACCAACAACAACATACACCCCAGAAGCTATTGAAATTTATCGGGTATTTCAAAATAGCTAGAAGAGAGAATTGTAATGCTCCTAACACAAAGAAAAAATAAATATTTGAGGTGATGGATATCTTAATTACCCTTATTTTGTTATTATACATTGTATACATGTATCAGAATATCACATGTACCCCCAATGTATGACCACTATGATATATTAATAAAAGAAAAAAAAGAACAGATATATATTAATGTTTGCTCAGGATGGATGGTGGATACACAAGAGCTCATTACTCAATTTTACTTTACTTACTTTATTGTACACCTAAAAAATTCTGTAATAAATATTGTAAACTTTTTAAAAAATCCATGACTCAATTAAAAAAAAATGTTCTGCAGGTGCCAAAAGTCAAAGGAGGACATAGGAGCTGGAATCTGGGATTGAGTTGGCAGTTACGCTTTCCACCTTAGGCTGAGAATTTGTGTAGGTAATTTTCAAAGACTGAAGCCGATACGCTTATTTATTGCAAACACAAAAGACAAAGTTTCTTCTAATAAACACAAATTTAAAAGGGGCGGATTAGAATATGAGTAACAAAGAAGAATAATTATTCTGCGTGGAATAGGGGTGTAAATGGATTACTACCCACCAGGCCAGCTCAGAAGAATAAAACTCACAGTTTTTGGCAGCTGCAAGGCTGTGATCCTGTAAATATTCACACATTTTTAAAACAAACGCCATTGTTACAAGAGCAAAAGAATGAAGTGCATATGCCACGTAGGTGTATCAGTCCATAAATAGCTGAAAAGCTGTCAGAGAAACAGAGACCATACAAGCAGTCCAAGAGAAGGAATTTAATACAGGGAACCACTTACAAGTGTATTGTAAGTGCTCAAAAATCAACAGGTGAAGGAAGCTGCTACCTTCCTTAGGACCGAGAGGACAAAGGGAATTGCGTCTAGAGGCTAGAAAACAGGGTTGTCTTACAAGAGCTAGTCTACCCAGACCCCAGACAGATATTACTCAAAAGCAGACAGAGAGGGAAATAAATACCCTGTGTTTTTCCTTCCTATCTCTTTCCTAACTCCCAGTAAGGTCTCCTATTAGGAGTACCTATTCGGCAGTCAGTTAGCAGGGGAGCCTGGAAAGGTAGATGTCAAGGATTGGCCACTGAATGCATCTGCGAGCAAAGGAGCCAAAGTCCAGCAGAACAGGCAGTTGCCAAAGAAACTTAAGGAATATAAAGAACTGTACCGCTCATTTCATTCAGCATAAAAGGGAACCCCCAATACCAAAGAGATGACACCAATATTAGTTTTAGACAGAGTACCATTTGGAAACGCCACCCAGTTATGTCCCACAATGAAAAAGGCACAACTAAGGTTGAAAATCCCCCAACATAACCACAGTTCTTCCAATATGTGAGAAGGCATAAAGGAAACCCACTTTTAGTGCCTATTCCACTCCTGAATTTGACACACCTGTAAGTATTCAAAGAGAAAACATTGAGAAATGTATATGAAATAGTCAACACTTTAATTTGCCTAGCGTATTTAAAATGACACAGATACCATCCAATATGTTAATACTTTTATAAAAATAAAGGTAATTTTATTAAGGACCACCGTGTTTTCACTTTTCTCATTTATTGCATCATGTGAAGAGTCTTCCAAGACCAGCACAGATTCACAAAATAATAACATGAGATTATCTCACTGGGAAGTTCCCCAAACAATATTATTGACTTGTAAAATTAAGTAAGTTCTGGGAAAAGAACATACAATTCTGGAAACAACAAATTCATATATTCTTGCACGGTGTAATCTCTGGGTTTTGCTTTTCTTAGATCATAAAGATTAAATTAAAATGTCTCCTAGGACTTTTTCAAAGTAGGTGCAGAGATATGAGTAGTGACTTGCTCAATTCAATCCCTAGAAAGTCTGACAATAGAAATCAGAAATTCCACCAATTCATACCCAACTGTACATTTTCAGGTTCTGTTCAATCTATAGGAAGTACATGAAACATGGATATTTAAAGCAATTTCTGTTTACGGGGGCCACTGCCCCTCTTTTGCGCCACCTGCTTTCTTGGTTCACAGTCATCAAGCAATACATCCTTTTAAGTTACCAGAACCTATAGCATCCACACAAAGCTGAAGCCAATAGAAGCAAAGCCATCACGTCAACGTCTTCTTTTTACCAACCAATTTAATGTCAAAATAGGTACTAGAATAAAATATTGCATAGTGGTAGAATTTATATTTCTTATTAATTTTCTTTACTGCTGTTTTATTGACAAATGTCAATTTGCAATTGCAAAAAGAAAAATGATTAAAAAGAACACACAAAAAGAGTTCTCACATCACGCTGCTATTGGAGTAAGTTAGCACCATGCTAAATTTCAACAGTTAATCAAGTAAGAGGAGTGAGGAGTGAATATAAACCATTTATAATGTGCCTTCCTACAATTACTGCAAAAGCTGAAGTGACCTGAAAAGTCACTTGGTTAGAGGTAATTCTAAACAAAGGAAAATGAGTTTTTAAATTCTTGGTCTCATGACTAGTAGGTGATTTGAATTCATATTGGACTCAGCTTTTAGAGTCCGAAGTTAGTGTTCTCTGACCATGTGGCTTCAAAAAGCAGAAGACTTGACCACACAGAAGCCCATGTGGTCACAGTGTGTCTCCTGTAAAAATGCTCACTAACAGAAAAGATCTGGTTTTCTTTACACAGAGATAGAACATCACTCTGCTGGCTTAACTTACCCTTTAGGCAAATAACATTCAGTATTAATTGACCTGTGTAGAGGTTGTTAATCAGCCTGAATAATTAGGCAAAAAAGTGATTCTTTGTAAAATTAGTACCTTTCCTAAATATATTGGTGCATAAACTCATAGAGAGAGACACCATGTACCACAGATTCATGCAAATACACATGGGTGCCTATACAATTTTCTAGAATAAAAAGAACAGAAGAGAATATTTTGTTAAATAAAAACAAGGCAAAATTAACTTCCAGTAGTTGCTGGATTAATTTTATCTATGCTATTCACCGTGGAGGGCTTTGAACACGGAACCTCAGCATCTTTCAAGCTCCTACCTTCCTGTCACCATCACCTTCACACAGCCCTGACCTTAAACTTGATGGAGATAAAAGTAGCCAGTGATGAACGAACTGTACAGCCCTTTGTCAAGAGAGGACACATTTGAGGTGAGGACAGACAAGAGCCCAAACGCTTCCGTACTTGCCCAGCAAAAGAAAACAGAAAAAGAAAAAAAAATAAGCTCAAGCGCACTTCAAGGAAAACAAGCATGTCAAGTTTCTTAAAACGAGCCTATTACCTGATGTGGCTGTGAACTGGACCATCTGCTATAGGAAGGAGCACCTGAAGACTTGGCTGACGTTCTCTGAGGGGGGAAAAAAAAAAATTCCTGCTGTCATACAAGCGGAATACACTTTATGTTTTTCTAAACAAATTATTTACTCAGTGTCTACAGCTTCAAGAATGAACACATCTTAAATTCTGTCTGAACTTAATCTTTCTCTTTTATTTCTTTTAAAACATATTCTCCTCAGCAAGTATGGTAACATGGATATTAGCGTCAAAATACAGGCAGCCAAGTCTCAGTTTGTATAAGCTATTTGATGTGGTGCAAGTCACCGAAGCTCTCTCTGTCTCAGTTTTTCTTGTATGACACTGGAATAATAATTTTTTGAGATGGAGTCTCACTTTGTCACCAGGCTGGAGTGCAGTGGCACGATCTCGGCTCACTGCAACCCCTGTCTCCTGGGTTCAAGTTGATTCTCCTGCCATAGCCTCCCAAGTAGCTGGGACTACAGGTGCACACCACCACACCTGGCTAATTATTTTATTTTATTTTATTTTATTTTATTTTAGTGGAGACCAGGTTTTATCATGTTGTTCAGGATGGTCACTATGTCCTGAACTTATGATCCACCCACCTCAAAGTGCTGGGATTACAGTGTCTGGCCAGAATAATAACTTTTATATCACAGGATTCTTGTGAGGCTCAAATATAATAGATATGAAGCACTTGGTAAAGAGCTATGCACTTATAAAGTATTAATTCAACAAGCAGGAAGCAAGCCACATAAGTTCCCACTTGAAACAAAACTGGTATACAAATGGGCAAGTTAATAAACGAGGTTGTTTGAGAGTCAGTTATTTTTGTTATAAAGAGATCCTTCATCTCAGGAAAGACCTGACTACATCATGGCTACCACATTTGTGGGCTTCTAAAATGCCACAAGCTCATGTAGACAAGCTCACCTAAAATCATTCTTGACACCATGTTTCTGTGTCTGCTTCCATCACAGAAACTAGAAAGCTGACTTTCTCAGCGTTTCATCCCTCTAGGAATGGTAACATGGCACAGCTCTGGCCAATGAGACATGAATATAATTCTTCTGGGGGGAATTCTAGAAAACTCTCTTTTCCTGGTGAAAGGGAAAGGAGAAGCCATGTACCATCCCATCACTCTTCTGCCTCTATAAATGCTGATATGCTCCATGGAGCTAGAGCAATCATTCTGTAACCACAAGGAAAAAGCCAAGAGCAGAGCAGACAGGCTGCCCCTAATCTTGTTGAGCAGCTGAAGCAAAGCTTCAGGCTGGTACTTTTGCCTAAATCCTCCCTATATAAATGACCATAATCACATCTTCTGTTACTTGCAGAGTTTAATGATATACTCTCCTCTCTCATTCAAATTAACAGTCAAATTATAGGAATTTGATTCATCAGAAACTTGTGAGTGCTTTAGGCAGAAAAGAACAGAATGAAAGAGGCATGAAGATGTGAAAGCGATTGGTGTGCTTGGAAAATGATCAGTAGAGCAATACCAACTGCCAATTCTTGTATTCACCATCACTGTGTTCCATCTGCCTTTCAGGATTCCTATGTGATTCTGTGCTGGCCTTTGCTGATTCTGACAGCTTTCCTGAAACTCTGCCACAGAGAGGTTGGCATGGTGGATTAATGCCGTGTTCCGCCAGCTCAGTTCGACTTTCCTCTAGCATCTGCCCATCTGAGAAGGCAGGGCTGGATTTAACTCTCAGGCCTTCCCAATCCCTCCTACCCCACTGAGGTTAATGACATTGGACCCTAGAACTAAGTGTGAGAAAGCATTTTGGTTTTTAAAGTAGATAAAGGAAGAACTAACAAGGTAGTAGCTAGAAGTTAAACCAAAAGATTAACCATATTTCATTAGTGAGACACAACATGAATGAACTTCAAATTTATCAGACTCTACCGCTAAATGATCATGTACCTTCTTGGATATTCATTTACCTAATTGTGAAATAAGGTTAAATTAAATGGTCTTCATGCCCAGCACCAAATCTGTACAATTTAATTATTTTTCACTTTTAGAGTGTTTAAATGATTACTAATACAGTGACAATAGTGAATTTCCATGGAAATAGTAGATTCCTTTCAATTTTTTTTTTATTATTATACTACAGGCTCTTAGATACATGTGCAGAATGTGCAGGCTTGTTACATAGTTATACACGTGCCATGGCAGTTTGCTGCACCCATCAACCCATCATCTACATTAGGCATTTCTCCTAATGCTATTTCTCCCCTAGCTCCCCAACCCCAAAATGCCCCAGTGTGTGATATTCCCCTCCCTGTGCCTATGTGTTCGCATTGTTCAACTCCCACTTACGAGGGAGAACATGCGGTATTTGGTTTTCTGTTCCTGAGTGAGTTTTCTGAGAATGATGGTTTCCAGCTTCATCCATGTCCCTGCAAAGGACATGAACTCATCATTTTTTATGGCTGCATAGTACTCCATGGAGTATATGTGCCACATTTTCTTTAACCAGTCTATTAGTGATGGGCATTTGGGTTGGTTCCAAGTCTTCCATGTTGTGTATAGTGCTTCAATAAATATGCTTGTGCATGTGTCTTTATACTAAAATGATTTATAATCCTGAGTATATACCCAGGAATGGGATTGCTGGGTCAAATAATATTTCTGTTTCTTGATCCTTGAGGAATTGCCACACTATCTTCCCCAATGGTTTAACTAATTTACACTTCCACCAACAGTGTAACAGTGTTCCTATTTCTCCACATCCTCTCCAGATTCTGTTGTTTCCTGACTTTTAACAATCGCCATTCTAACTGGCATGTGGTTTTGATTTGCATTTCTCTAATGACCAGTGATGATGAGCTTCTTTTCACATTTCTTGGCCACATAAATGTCTTTGAGAAGTGTCTGCTTATATCCTTTGCCAACTTTTTGATGGGGTTGTTTCTTGTAAATTTGTTTAAGTTCCCTATAGATTCTAGATATTAGCCCTTTGTCAGATGGATAGATTGCAAAAATTTTCTTTCACTCTGTAGGTTGCCTATTCACTCTAATGATAGTTTCTTTTGCTGTGCAGAAGCTCTTTAATAGATCTCATTTGTCAATTTTGGCTTGTGTTGTCATTGCTTTTGGTATTTTAGTCATGAAGTCTTTGCCCATGTCTATATCCTGAATGATATTGCCTGGGTTTTCTTCTAGAGTGTTTATGATTTTACGTCTTATGTTTAAATCTTTAATCCATCTTGAGTTAATTTTTGCATAAAGTGTAAGGAAAGGGTCCAGTTTCAGTTTTCTGCATATGGCTAGCCAGTTTGCCCAACACCATTTATTAAATAGGGAATTCTTTCCCCATTGGTTTTGTCAGGTTTCTCAAAGATCACATGGGTGTAGATATGTGGCATTATTTTTGAGGCTCTATTCTGTTCCATTGATCTATATATCTGTTATGGTACCAGTATCATGCTGTTTTGGTTACCATAGCCTTGTAGTGTAGTTTGAAGTCAGGAAGTGTGATCATTCCAGTTTTATTCCTTTTGCTTAGGATTGTCTTGGCTGTACAGGCTCTTTTTTGGTCCCATATGAAGTTTAAAGTGGTTTTGTCTAATTCTGTTAAGAAAGTCAATGGTAGCTTGATGGGGACAGCACTGAATCTGTAAATTACTTTTGACAGTATGGTCATTTTCATGACATTGATTCTTCCTATCCACGAACATGGAATGTTTTTCCATTTGTGTCCTCTCTTATTTCCTTGAGCAGTGGTTTGTAGTTCTCCTTGAAGAGGTCCTTCACATGCCTTGTAAGTTGTATTCCTTGGTATTTTATTCTCTTTGTAGCAATTGAGAATGAGAGTTCACTCATGATTTGGCTTTCTATTATTGGTATATAGGAATGCTTGTGATTTTTGCACATTGATTTTATATCCTGAGATTTTGCTGAAGTGGCTTATCAGCTTAAGGAGATTTTGGGCTGAGACAATGGGGTTTTCTAAATATACAATCGTCATCTGCAAACAGAGACAACTTGACTTCCTCTCTTCCTATTTGAATATCCTTTATTTCTTTCTCTTGCTGGATTGCCCTGGCCAGAACTTGCAATACTATGTTGAATAGCAGTGGTAAGAGAGGGCATCCTTGTCCTATGCCGGATTTCAACGGGAATGTTCCAGCTTTTGACCATTCAGTATGATATTGGCTGTGGGTCTGCCACAAATAGCTATTAATATTTTGAGATACATTCCATTAATACCTAGTTTATTGAGAGTTTTTAGCATGAAGGGGCATTGAATTTTATCAAAGCCTTTCTGCATGCAGTGAGACAATCATGTGATTTTTGTCACTGGTTCTGTTTATGTGATGGATTACGTTTATTGATTTGTGTATGTTGAACCAGCCTTGCATCCCAGGGATATTGTTTTTAAAAATACCAAAGAAATGTGTTCTTAAATCTCAGTTAATAATACAGAATGTTAATAATTCAAAATAACCCCTTAATTGCATATTTTATCGATTCCAACTTCCCTGAACCCTTAGAAAGGGACTGTGAGCTGGTTTTCTAGCCTGATAATCTTGGCTTTAGCAAAGACTCTGTCTCTAAATCATAAGATTTTGGAATTCACTATCAGACTAATTTTTGAGGCATCATGTTTTGAGAACATACCTCATTATTGTTTAAAGCCACACTATGAATTTCTGTAATTGTAACTATAAATTTTACCTTAACTATCAGGAAAAACAAAGTTTTGGTTTCTTTAAATCAAAATAAAATTATGGCAATCAAAGTCAAGATACAATCACTGACATTCAAAACATATTTTAAAGAAAAGTCAGATGTGTGGCCTGCAGTGTATGATCCAAGTTATCAAGTAATCTTGAAATGGGAAGTGCAAAAGATGGACACTTGTGGATTTGATTGCACTAATAGCTCAATATGAAATGCACACCTGTCTCTCCTAAGATGGGTCACAGTACTTCCATGCTCACACGCAACTTTTTCCTAAAGGTCACACTGCATTTCAGCATTGACTCAAGTATAATTAACTTTATAATGGCAATTGCATCTACTGTCATTCACAC